CGTGAAATACCACGGCATGAGAAGAAATGGCTTGCCATGAAGGAGAGCTACTTGGGAAGCAAGTTCAACTCCGTGTCTTGGACTCGTTAGAACTCATCCAACTTAACAACTGAATTCCGTATCTTGCTAGCCACCAACACATTGGCAAATTCGAGCGAAGTGCCTAAGCTGCACACCACAAGACGAAAACAAAAATGGAGAAAACGAAGAAAGTAATCGAAAAACACAAAAAGACTCTAAATAAATGGAAACACACGAAAAGAAAATAAACGGACCAAAACAATCACGAAAAACATAAAATGGGGGAAAAAGACAATGAAAATAATCAAGAAAAGCGTAACAAAAATGGGACAAACATTTTGCTCTGCCTGTTATTGCTTAGTATTGATTTATTGCTATTTTTTCAATACAGACCACAAGTTTCCTCTGCACTTTACTTCAAGCATAATACTGCATTGGGGCCACCGTACAGGGTCTTGGTAGATACAAACTTCATAAATTTCTCCATCCAAATTAAAGTCAGTGTTGCCCGTAACTCACAACGAGTTGAAAAGGACCAATGCAGGGAGTGTCGTGGTTTTGGGCACTTTCAATATGAGTGTGCTAATCTTAATAAAAAGAACAAGTCTCTGAAGGCAACATGGGAAGATTCAGATGACGAGGGCACAAATGAACCTCCATCGCACACTAATAATATGCCGATCCATTCCTATGTTAAGTAGTTCATGTGTCTCACCACATCGCATGTTCCAACCAAGTTTGAAGAAAGCATGAGAGAGGCTGAAATATATGAAGACAAAGCAAATCAAAACTTGTGTGCTGATCATGTACAATTGCTAGACATGGAGAAATGTGCACAGACATCTGAAGCCATGAAGAAGCTTCAGAGTGAAGTACATAGACTGACAAGAGTAAATAAAATGTTGAGCGAATAGGCCTCCTCTTCCTTCATTGTTGAGAAAGAATGTGAATTAGATACTACAAAGGCTCGACCTTTAATTCTTGAAGGCATTGTCAAACTTGCTAAACAAGATGGATTGGAAAAGACTCAAACCATTGAATGCTTGAGGACTGAATTATTCTCAACTTAGAAACTTCTTGCCGAGTGGAACAAGGAGATATTGAAGCTGAAAGCTGAGGTTGGTGTTTATTGTGTTTTTGTGCTTATTTTCGTGTGTTTTATGTGCTCGAGTTTAGTATTTTTAGGTTCGTTTTAGTGTCAAACGATCCATTTTATCGTATTTTGT